ATTAATGCTATTCAAACTTTTTTAATTGTAAATTTTTATAGAAGACTACAATAAAATATTTAACTATTTGTCGAATGAGGAAAACTCATCCAACTGGATTGGATAACTTGGTAATTTATGAAACTAAGAGTGAAAGCTAACAAGTATAAGTTAGAGATTGGTAAATTGTACCATTACCTACATAATTCTGACGTGATTTCACTCTAAAGTAAATAACAGCAACTTTTAAGCTCTATCCATGCAGGATGTGAAACAAATATGATAGAATAGTCATTAGCAGACCATTTTGGGGTGGATAAAATACAAAGAATTTTATAAAGATTCTTATGCTACTATAAAATTATTCTAAAATATATTGGATTGTAAACTATTGAAAAAGATTTAACTCATTTCATAACAAAATTATATTGACAGGTTTAAAATTTATATTAAAAAAATAACATTTTGCACAAATTAACTTTGGGTTATTACGTTTTTAAGGAACTGGTTGCCTGTATCTAGTTATTTTAACACTAAAAGTGTGCATCTAAAGAGTATTGTTGATTTTTAACTTTTAATAAATTCTTTAAAAAACGATATAACATTTCAATTATAAATAGTACAGATAATTATTTCTCATTTTTAGTGACAAGGAATGAGACAGGATATTGTTGATTTTGTTAAATTCATCGATCTTCGAATACTAGATTTGACATAGAAATTCAGTCTATTCCTATTCCATTAAGGGCGTGGATCTAAAAAGGATAGATCTGTGTTCCTTGCCAAAAAGAAGTGAGGGATTTAAATTTATAGCAGTTGCTGTTGATTATTTTTCAAAATATATCGAAGCACATCCCTTGGATAAAACCTAGATTCAGTGACTCTTTTTATATTCGTTATTATGCAGGTCTGATAAAAATTTATGACAACAATATTCATATTTATAATTAATCACCAGGGTTGCAGGTTTGTGAATGAATTTAGCAAAGCTTATCACTCGTGGAAACCCAATAGAGGGTTACAAGTGCTTATTAACCTCAGGCAATTATGGTAGAAGGAATGAAAGCGCTCCTCATAATTCCCTTTTAAGTGTACGAAAGAAATCAACAGATTGGCCTGAAGATGTACCTTATATAAATTGCTTACAATACACCAAGCATAAATCCTCATATTTGATACGATTTTTGGCAAGAAATTTTAATGGTCTGTGAGGTATGCATCTGGACCATTTTCAGCGTCTAAATATAAAAGGGGATTTAAAAAATTCAGAACAGATCTTGATGATCAATCTGATACAGACACGGAGATAACGCTATCAAAGAACAATATAAAAGGCTTAACAAGCAAAGTTGGGCCAGTCGGAGTATTTAAAAATTTTATGTCCGGTCCGGGTATATTTTAAAAAATTAAAATAAGGCTCGGCCCAGGCCTGCCGTGCAGATCTCTATATTCCTTGAAATGAGAAAAATATCAATCGGGAAAAAAAATTATGTATACTTCATCAAAATGTTAAATTATTATTATATACTTTGGTATTTGGAAATTTATTAAATTAATCAATTCATTACTTGGTCCTCCTTTTCTCGCAAGATTTTTTAGTTAAACATCTCTAATTGGATTAAAAAATTGCGAATAAGGAGGCAAAAATAAAAGCTCATAGCTGAACGAGTGGATACTATTCAATATCAGTTGAGTGATGAAATTGAACATGATTTAATCTTTAATTAGTTGTTCAGTATATGTTAAACCCAGTTTTATCCAAAATAACAATTTATTGTCACCCAATGCTGACAACCTGCAATATTATAACATGAATGTTGTTCCTTTTAGAATTACATTCGATATTCCTACGCTCAGGAACGTTGGTAACTCTCATGAATGAATAGTGAAAATGCTTTATTAGTCAGCTTATCGCTGATAATTAGGTCAACAGAAAAGTTTTATCTTATTTTTTCTTTTAATTCTTTTAATGTTATGGAACAGTCATTGTCAATTTTTGTTAAAATATATTCAATATGCATTTTGAATTTTAAGAGATTTTTAGAAAATCTCGGTGGGAATCACTAAATATCTTTAAAGCGAGATTAAGTTGATGCCTAGATATGTCCAAAATATTAGTTATATCTGATATGAAATGGCATCTCTATTCAATTAATAGTTAGTTTCCTATTTTCATCATTCATTTAAAAATTTATTTTTATAAAAAGTAAAAGGGTACCCTTTTTAAAATTCAGCTCAAATCGAATCATTTAACAACATTACTCTCAGGTATGTTTTTATTCTTGCTAAAGAAGTAAATGCTCTGACAAATATTTAATTTTTATATATCGAGATTCGAAATAGATTCGAAAGGATTGTGCGTAACAATATTTATATATATGCTGATTAATCAAGAACCTTTTATTAATTCGAGTTATAAAAGTATATGGGGGGGCAAAGGGATTTGTTTTATAGTATTCTTCGATTGATCCAATATTAATACTGAAACGATGGGCTTGCCTTGCTGCGAGTCGGTCGAGGTAGACATAAATTAAATTCATAATATCTGCTATTGACTCAATAATGACATATAATTTATGAAATTCGTCTTTACATTGGCCATAATTTACCTAAGTTATAAAATAATACTTTTAGCTATTCACATAGTCTCAATCAAATTCGATGTCATTTTTTTGAAATTATTTACTTTCGCTCTACAGTTAATAATTTTCAAATGATTTTGAGAGAAATTTTTAAAATGGTAGGTCAATATGATGAAGGTAAATTTGAAATCGATAATTTAAGTAGCGTATTTATTTCTACCGTGAATGTAATAAATAAATGTAAATTGAAATATATATGCGATAAGAGGTGGGGATGATTATATAAACTGATAATCAGAAAAAAATAATATTTTTGAAAAATATTTTATGTTTAACCTAATTTTTTGCGCCTTCGCCACTTACTATGCAAAAATTTTACTTATATTCGAATTAAAGATTATTATCAATCAAAAGTGTCAGTCATAATTTTTATAAACTTTAGTATGCCATTTTACAACAATTTTTAAATATTTTAAGCTTAAAAATTAAATCCAATATATAAATTATTTATATAGTATTATAAATGACACATCAAATCAAATATCCTACTAGCAGTGGTGCCAGCTACCCAAGTTAGTGTAGAAAGATATTTTTCAACAATTAAATTTATATTATCTCCTTATAGATGTAATTTGAGTAATATGAATTTTGAAAATATATTAATTGTGCGGCTTAATAAAAAATACGTAAATAAATTTAAATTATTTATATTAAATTAATCATTGATATTTATTTGTAATATTTATAAATTAAATATTATTTTATAATGTGAAATTAATAAAAATGAAGGGTTTTCCTATATATAATTCGAATGTAGGTTTGAATACAAGTGTTCAAACCAGTTTTTAGAGATTCGAACCTAACCGATATTTCTATTATTTACGAACCGAAACTGAACCGTTATTTTTATCCGAACCTGAACCAACCCGATATTCGTTTCGGTTTGGATCCCTGGATAGAGCATCCATTCTTTTATTTGATTCACCGAGATCAGCTGATGTTTTGTATACCAAATATTTCAAAGTAAATCTTTTGCTATTTATCTTCTTTTTAAAAAACTCTTAATTTTACCTAGAATGGCATTAATAACTTTATTGTTGGTTGTCTTTAACAATAAAGTTATTAGAAAACCTTTTCTATTGGATTTTGTTTATTGAAAAGTTTGATCTTTCGTTTTTTCATGAAAATAATAGTTTTCTAAATAGTCTCTGAGTATTTTATCATTTTTATTATATAAAATGTATCATTTAAGGAAATTCCCAACATTATTTTCATTAAAGATTGTTAAGTTTTCATTGTGGTCTGATAAGCTTTGTTTATCTAAAATCTTTGTTGTTTCAAATTTGTTTTGAGACTCTGTCGAATTTTTCTTTTATTATTTTAAAGCAAATTGAATTATTTTTTTTATTATAGATTAAAGTATAAAAAATGTAAATTAATCAAAACTTGAATTTCAAATCGGAAATGTGTTCTTATTAACAAATGAAAATAACAATATCTAAATGATATTCTTAAGGAATGTATTATGATATTCTAAATTCTAAAAAAAGGGAAATAATATATAGAATTTTTTTTTGATCGGCCTCCTTTTATATTTTCTCTGATCAGGCTCAAAAATCAGGATTTTTTTGCGGTTTGCGGGCAAAATGCCTACTTGATCTTATGATGTGCCAGGCACGGGCATGCCTTTAATATTTTCATGGGTACGCCTGAATTTTCTGCATTGTCACGCCTATTCAAAAAACCCCAAATTTAATTCTCGACTTAATAATAACTGAACTGCAAGGTAGATCTGCGAGGACACAAAAACATTAAAAGCAATTAACATTTTATTATATTACCATAAGTGTGAAACGGAAATTATGCCCTTAATTAATCATTATCAGGAAGATGAGTTCTTGGTAGTAAAAAATTACAAACAAACTATAAAAGAAATTATGAATTATAAAAAGGAATAAAAACGCTACAGTATTCAAGATTTATTAAAAATTATATCTAGTCATGAAATATCTCTTCAAATTTAATTTTATTAAAAATTTCACTTACAAGACAATACCATATCGTTTATGCTCAAGTGAGCGTTCGTTCTCTACTCTTACAAATTATTGGGTCTGATTAGTATTGAGGACAATATTGTAAATAAAATACGCAATGTAATATAATTGATTTATTTTATTTGAAATGATACGATATATATTTTATATACGAATTATATTTAAATTCTTTTTAGTACCATTCCTATAAATATATTTTTTACCCCCCTCCCTCCCCCCCACAAAACTTGGATACACTTCGTTGGGCTAACCAATATGAGAGAGACTAACGTCCCCATTGGTCCAAACTCTAATTACTAATGCGAAAGATAAAGTTATATTTAAAAATTTTGATATAGGCTAATTATATATTCATTGTAATTTAGAAATTAGAAAAAAGAATTACTTTGTATTTATCGAAGGAAATTTTGTTTTTAGAAGAATCATCCTTGAATTTTGTGTTGTACCAATCGTAATGCACCTCGATGGAATCAAAATAAATATGCATGTTTAAGAAAAATTTATTATTTTTCACTTTTTATAATCAGAATATATTCATTCACACAATGGTCTACAACCTATGCTTTAAGAATTATTATCGTGCAGGGTATTTTTGGCAAGTAAGCCGACAAACTCTTATTAACCCAGATAAGACTAATAAGGAGAAGGCACTAAAAATCTCTTCCTAATTGTTTAATTATATTTTATATTATATAAAATATAATAAATGAGTACTTCCAATAGTTCAGCCAACTTAAAAGGAGATGATATAAAGATAACCAGGGAAAATAAAATATTTTTATAGGAGACAGGGTGAAGATTGGGCAAAACGGAGTTTGGGGCAAAGCCTCCATAAAAATTCAACCCTCCCTCCCCCGTAGATAAATCCTGGCTATACCACTGCGCAGTGTTCGTTTTATTTTAATGTATTTATTTATTTAACCTTGTAATAATATGGGTTACATTATTATTATCTATTTTTTTAATTTTGTTTATATATTTATATTTTTCAGAATATTAATGATTTTATTTTAAAAATCGGATGTTTTTGTGAATAAAAATAAAAGCAATAAATACAATTATTCATTTTTGCAATACCCATTTTTATTATAGATATATTAATTTATAATTTCAGCCACCGTTTTTATTATAAGCTATCTCATTTATGAATGTAAAAAGTTTTTGGGAAGGGGGGTGGGGTTCAAATACTCCTATAGCCCTCTCCTAAATACTCTAAGATTTATAGAACATAAATATTTTTTAACCATTACTATCCATATTTTGTCAGTTAGAAAAGCAGATCTTTTTTAAAAAAATGCGAGGTGCAGTATTATAGACTTGAGATTAAACCATACCAAACTTAGTGTGGTATATCCTATCAATCAATTAAACCACACTATACTAAAAAAAATTTAATTTTAATAATAAAATTAATTTACCCCATAATTCCTATTTTTTTATTAACAATTGATTTTCAAAATTTTAATCAGATAAACAAGAGCGCTATTGCAGTGCTGTAGACTTTAATTCAAAAAAAATATGCTACCGTTTGAAAAAAGGAAATCTTATCGTTACTCCTTACCTTGTGAAAAAAGGAACGCGCTTTATTGACTATTCAAAAAAGTAACGCGTTATTCGTTATTTAAAAAATTAAATATTAAATACAAAAAATTTTTTTTTTCCTATATAAATAGACATGTGCACCGACAGCATTATTGGCGGCGACTTTTCTTTTTTTTAAATGATCGGCTGGCGGCGGCGAATCGATTTAGACGTTGTCACAAAAATAGTGGGCGGCGCGGCGGCGTTAAATATTTTTCTAACTCAATTTTTTTATAATTAAAATTATAAATTCATTGGAAACACTTATAAAATAAAATTTATGCTTTATTATGTTTATAACTATAATTTAATAATTTTATTAAGTTAAAATTATCATATATAATATTTAGATTTATAGGATATAATAATGATCTTTTAGAGTTCAGAGTGAGCCCAGCTATGGAAAATACACGCTCGCTGGGTGTGCTCGTAGCTACGCACAGGACCTTTCTAGCTAATATTTAAAGTAGGAAGATCCAATGCTCTTATCTTCCAAAAATCTAAGAAATCTTTTATCTCTAAATTATAAGGCGAAAATAATGAATACATTTTTTTTCTAAATTAGATAAATAGTCTTGTTGTTTCAGATTATTGTTATGAATAGATGAATGTTTCGTAGCCAATGTAAGATAATCGAATTTTGAAGCAACTTCCGTCGTTTCACATTCGGTTAATTTGTCCGTGTAAGGCCATAGAGAGGTAGCGTGTTGACATAAAAATTGCACCGGAGTAATATTTTTTTCCTTTAAATATTCATTTACTATGTTTATAGATTGAAAATGAGGATCCAAAAGTGCCCCTAACACCTAAGTAAAATTATAAAACAAAGAGAAATAATATTAAAAAAAAATAATTTATATATTTTAAACTACTACCTGAAGATCAGTTATTGGAAATCTATGATCAAATTTAGTAAGCATATTTTGTTTCCCTTAATATCAAATTTTTTTACAATTAAATGATATTTAATTTTACTACGAAATAATAAGGATAATTTATAGTAACTCCTTTTTGGACGTACAAAAATTCAACAGTTTTTTTGTAGGTTCTAAGAAAATTTAAAAGTTCATACAAGTCACAAAGGAGTTAAATAATTTGAGATCCGGTTTCGCCATTCTATTTAATAGAATATTTATAGGAATATTGTTAATGCCAGTCATTCACACTTTCCAGTATTATTAAAATACTATGCCAACATGTAGGCACATTTAATTTTAAGGTTTTTTCTCATATGAATTTTGATATTCACTATCATCATCAAACCCCAAACGATCTTCATAAAAAAAATCATCGAAATCTAAAATATCCGATGGATATCGATTCAAAACATTTTTTATTTTCGATATCGTTTATATTTTCAAAATCCGTTGTGTTGAATCTTAAGGCAAATATAATTTCTTCCACTTTTTTAATGAGATTTTCTATTTTATTAACTTTTTTTTATTCCATCGACTGTCACTAGATTATGTAATCCATGCCCCAAACATAAATGATGGTCATATTCTCTTAGACGAACACTTTTCTTTACATTGGGTCCTGCATCCATAACCATTTGAATTTTCTTGGACACTAAATGAAATTCATTTTCAACTTTTTCTATCTCGGAAAGAATAGTTTCAGCGGTATGTTTTTGAGTGACATGATGTGTCGCCAATGTATAAAATACAATATTAAAATTATTATCTATTTCATGAAATGTAAAGGTAATATAATTTAGGCGTCTATATTTGTCGGTCCACATATCAAAAGTTATAGCACAAAATTTAGGACCTATATTAATTTGTTGACATGTGTATGCTTTCATTGATAAATACACATCATCTAACACTCCGGCTAAGTGTTGTTCTATCTGGTAAATCTTAAATGCCATATTTCTACATAATAAAAAGTTAATAATAAAAATATTATGCCATAAAAAATTCTAAATGTGGGATGAGATCAGTTTTATTTAAATATTCTATTTTAAAATAATTAAATATTTTAACAGTTAAAATAAATATAAAAATTAAGATTAAAATAATAAAATATATAATAATATCAGAGTTGTTAAAAGATACTTTTAAAATGGATCTAGATACAGATACAGCTTCTAAAAAGTTATCTAGATACAGATACAATTTAAAATGTATCTAGATACAGATACAATTTAAAATGTATCTAGATACAGATACATTTTTTATTATACTCTTAGATAAGGTTTGAATAAACCTAAATTAGGATTCTATTGTGAAAATTCATAAAATGAATAAAAAATTTATTGACTCGATATCACATTTATCAAAATATAACTAAAATAATGATTTTTAGATATTAATATAAATAATTATTATATTCATTAATAAAATAATATAATATATGATTATAAATAATTATTAGATTTCAGTAATAAAATATTTTCAAAATTTTGGTCATTAAGACATCCTCGTTTATCTGTAAAGACATTTTTAGCTCTACTAAAAAGTCTTTCAATAGGGGCGCTGGAAGGGATTGTGGTGTTATATTTATTTAATGAATAACATTTTTATATCAGGATATTGTTTAAAAATACTAAAATCTCGGCATTCATTTTTCAAAAAACTTATTTAAAAATTTGTTGATTATCAGAATTTAAATCATTAACAATCATATCTCCTGCTGTGGGATACTGAAAAAAATCGGATATTAAATTATTGGTTTTTTTTCACAGGTTAATTTGCACTCATTTGAAGACTGATAATTCCTCAACTAATCTTTGTATTAATTGTTTTTTTTATTAAAATCTTCATCCATTTGCAACCATGTCCAATCTATTTTAAAAAAAGGATGAAGCATAGTTGCCAAAATATTTTCATCTTCAAAATTGTCCCAATAAATCTAGAATTATTAAATATTGATTAATTTATTATTAATTTACCTATCTTCAATCCCTTTAAGTAAGGCATTTAAAAGTGGTAAACAAAATTTCAGGTTCATTAGTTTAAAATTTTTCAATTTATGAGCTGGGAAATAGTCGCACAGTTATAAGCTGTGAACATATATTTATCTCCCTGCAGGATATCAAGTGAACTTGCTACCGGCTTCATTAGCTAATTTAAAATAATGCTGTATATACAAATTTTATTTATAACTAAACAATATTCATGAATAAAATCACATTCATTAGATAAAAATCTAGGTAATTTTATTCCATCGCAAATCTTGTCCAATTTTTCAAATTTAGTCTTAATAATTTCTGACATTAATTGTAAAGCATTATAAGTGGAGTTCCATCTAGTTATATTGGGACATATAAAATATCGGCCAATATTGTTTTTTATAATCTCAGCTGAATTTTGAGATTTATTTAGTCTATTCCATATATTTTGGCATTTAGACAATGTTGTGCTATATATCTAAGGAATAAAATATTGAATATTATAATTAAAATATTGAACATTATAATTAAAATTATAGTTTTACCCTCAGATATTGTTTACACTGCAACTCTATTTGCATCTACAGTGGCAACAAGATTCAATGTGTAACTGACACAACATTGATATGATTCTGATATTTCAAAATCCTGAGCAGTAGTATAAAGATTTGATATTGGTGCAACTGTTTCTTCACCTTCCAGATCATCAATGGATTCAATAATATTTTCAATTGGCTTATAAAATAAACCTAAATGACTTGATAAAGTTTTTGGCATTATCAGTAATGGTCTTTGAGATTCTATTTTGTATACAATAATCCTTTGCTATATCTTGTAAATTTTTTGCTATTTTATCATATGTATGATTACCAGTCATTCTTTTACAAGCCAACGCTACATTTTTTCTTTCCAAACTTGTTGGATCTATATAGTGTGCAGTGACTCCTATGCATGAACTAAAAATTAACAATACTTAAAAGTTAAAACTGCTCAAATAATTTGTTTGTAATTAAATTATTATACAAATTTAAATGTTTACTGCGATAGGCACTCCAACAATCTGCTGTTGTGCATATTAACGATGGTTCTAATAGACTTTTAATAATTTCTTTCTTTTCATTCTCCCATCTTTGGGAAATTCTAGCAACTACTGTCTGACGCAAATTATATTTTTTTGAGGAGCTAATGTTTAGATCATTTTTATAAATATTGGATTTCAACAACTGGAAATGGCTGAATGCTATCAATAATAAAATCGGTTATTAAATCATCTAAAATGGCTTGGGTTAAAATCTTAGGTCTCTTGGAAAAAAAATCAATCGACGATGAGCCTAGTCCAATATTTACTTTAATAGATTTTTTCTCCTTCCCCCTTTTTATTTGGATTAGGAGTGTTTGATGTTTTCTCTTAAAATTTAAAATTGTAAACATATATTTAGTATCTATACCCTTAAATGCTTTACAATGTTACAAGTTGAGCTAATTCTAACAGAAATTTGTATATTTTTTGGTAAACATGGCAAACATTTTACTAACAGAGATTTGTTTTCTTTATTATCAGATATTATTTTAAAATATGGTCTATAAATTGGCCATGGAATGTCGTCATTTTCGTCCTCAATGTTAATCTGAAAATTAATATAAGAGAATAAAATACCAATTCCATTGCAATTAAAAATGGCAAATTCCTTGAGATGGATTGTAATATCAGAATTTGCTTGTTATTAATAACTCGGACATAATATTTAATTATTATTTATATATTCTTTTTTATATACAAGTTTTAATATTTTACATATATATATAATTTTTTAATATATATATATTAATATTAAATTATATGCTCATATGAAATAAAATAAATTTTACATTCAAGTATATTTATTTATAATATAAAAAAGCGTTAAATAAAAGTATATCAAATGTATCTTAAAAAGTATCTAAAAACAGATACAGATACCTCTAAAATAATATATAGATACAGATACTTTAATCAAAAATCTATCTAGATACAGATACCATATTTTTATATCTAGATACTTTAACAACTCTGAATAATATCAATACCTTTTCTGTTTTACTATCCTAATATTATCTTATCTAGCACGTTGGTCATAGACCTGCCTAAAATGAGCCAACGTGTATTATATGGATTGTTACAAATCAAATTTATAGCAAATAATATTTATTAATTTTAAAAAATAAAATATTTTTTAATAATTCATAATATATTTTTTAATAATTCATAAAATATTTAATATTATTTTTCTTCTAGTTAGAATTCATAAATAATATATAAAATAAATATTTTTAATAATAAAAAATATGTATCACGCCGCCACGACCGAATTTTTACATCGGCGACGGCGTGTTGTGCGTCGACACTTTTGTGGCGGCGGCGTAGTCAAAAATCACCGGCGGCGCACATGTCTATATATAAATAAATTATACAAAAATATATATTATAAGATATTTTTGGTTATTTATTTCTTTTTAACAATTAACTTTAAAAATTTTGATCAGATAAACAAGAGCGCTTAGTGCTCAAACAGTTTTCACGTAAATGAATCAAGTCTCCTTTTTTTATCTATGTTATTTCTCGAACTAGAAATAAGTTCAAGCTTTCTTCCTTCACTGACCTCTGATTTTATCCAGGACCAATTTAATTTAAATAGTATATACATCTTTATAGATGTGTTCGAATCTATTGAAAATAAAAATGATCAAAATATAAATTGTAAACAATTTCAATTGTGTACATTTTAATGAGTGGATTATAATAAAGCCATATTTTTAAGTTTTAATATTAAAATAATTATCAAGGAAATGAGATATCTCAATGCATTTTTCTTCGCTCTTAATAAGACTTATTAATTTCACGAAGTTATAAAAAGAGTTCCATCTTGTTATCACCAGTTTAATCAGATCTCTTCCCATTTTTTCTTAAAAATGGCTGCACAATTTGTAATCCCATGTTTATTCCATAAATGAGGTTAAAATATTTGAGTTGGGACACAATTTACACTTAAAAAGTGAAGACTTAATACTTTTAATTTTATTCATTGGTGTAAATAATGTTTCATACTAAGGCAAATGCTAGGTTAAATCATCTTCACCTAGAGAAATAAGTATTATTGACATATATTTTTTATAAAATAAATTAAAATATTAGAGAATATAATTTAACATACCTTGATAGATTCAATATAAATAGATTAACAATTTCTACTATAAATGAATCAAAAATTTGGCTTAAATTATTTATAAAATATATAATAAAAAATAATTTGAGTAATGATTAACGTTTTGAGTTACAGTTAGTCAATAATAAAGAAACGCGTTTCGTAGCCTTTTAAAACAAGTAACGAATGGCGTTCCATTTCCTCACAAATTTACAGCACTAAAATATAAAAACTTATCTTTTAAAATAGAGTATTTAGAAATGACATGAGGAATGCGTCTCTTTCTTGCAATTATTCTCATAAGAAATTCATATAAGACGATTTTTTTCATCACAATATATATATATGCGTTAATGAATTAAGATATGTGAAATACAGTATTAGAGCCCTGCAAAATTAAAAAAACAAGTTCAGACCGAGCCAAAATTTTCAAGATTATTTATTTCTTTTAAGGCCCGAGCCCGAATTTTAATTTTAGGTCTGAGCCAGGTCCAAAATTTTTAATTAAAAATATAAAATAAGAGCATTTTATAGAGTAATAAAATAAAATTCATTAATTGCATTGTCGTAATCCCAGAGGAATTTCTTACTTTTCTTAATATAAGTGAAAATATCTCTTTATTTTATCTTTTAAAAATTTTAAGCCCGAACCCGGCCCAATATTTTTTATATTTATGCCTGGTGGACTTCGGGCTGGCTTGCATTGCTCAATAAAGTATATATATAAACTTCTTTGAGAATGAGTCCCAAGCCTGGAGCTTTAGGAATATAGATTTTAGTTGGAAGCCACGAATTATAAATCTCGTCTTGCGTAACTAAATCACGAATAGCTGCCATGGTAAAACCTACAATTGTTTTTGGTGTTTTTATTTTTTCCAATATTTTTTACCAGTTTGGCTACCAAAAAATATTGATCTATTATTTTATAAATATATTTTTTCTTTTTTAAAACTCAATTGAAATATAAGTATTACCTTTCTTAGCATCTATCAATATTATTTTCGATATTTTTTAGAATCAGTGGGGTAAAAGAACGAGGGTGGGGGGTTTAAACTCCCTCCCCCCTAAATTACCCCCCCCCCCCCATGGAAAATATGATAAGGTAAAATATTGTGTTTTCTAGATGAAAATTTGTTTTTATTTCTTTTTTTGATAAAACCACCTCCTTAATGTTCTATTTCTATTAAATCATCAAAGTATAATTAAAAAAAAAGACGACAAATTATTCTGGCAGTTTTTTTTATTAAGAAATGGGCATAATTAAATAGACAGTGAAAAAACATTTGGTAGGTATTTTAAATTTTTGGGCAGTTAAAATTTAATTTTCAAGTTTTTATAGTTTCGGGCTGGATTTAAAATGACAATTCAAATTCTCATAATTCCTATTGATGTAAAATTAGAAATAGAAACTTTATTTAAAATGGGTCTCAAACTAATATGATTATGGGAAATTTTACAAAAAAAATTTAATTTGCCTTTAATAAATTAAATAAGAAATTTTTTAATGAGACTAAAGACAAAAAAAAATATGGGCCATCAAGTAGTGGAATTGGAAGAATGGCTTACTGAAAATTTATGAAGATCCTACCTTTATAACAAATTTTCAAATAGGTTACATTCTATCTGAATAATAGCAAAAAGTTAAAATCAATTTAAATATTTATTTCTTATATTCTAATATATTGTCTTACGAAAATTTAAAGTTTATTTTCCTACATTTTTTAAACCTTAAACTCTTATGGATATAAGAAAATTTTATCAACCAAAAAAATTCTATTTAATTTAATTCTACTAATAACTATGATTAGAACATTTCTAGAGTTGTAAGAAATATTCAGAATCCAAATATATAGAATTTGCTTATAATTATTCTGAAACTTCTCATGCTATAGGTAACAAGAAACTGAAAAAACCTGCACGAATAGATGTAATTTTGACTCAAATCAATGACCTATTTGTGATTTATCAAATGACTATCCAATTTACAAATAGTATATCTTATAACTCCCATTGATCTGAGAATATATCAAATCTGGATATTAAAAAATTAAATATTTAGCTAAATTTTATTCATAGGATATAAACGTATCTAAAGGCCAATTAATTTCAGAATTCAAATGGTATGAATGAAAAATTCATTTTTATATATAATCCTCCAAGAAATACATTGGAAGCATTGCATACCTTAAAATACTTTTTATAAGTTTCCATTATTAAAACTATTGTGTATATTGGCAATGATACCAATTTGTACAAGCTCAAATGAGAGGACCTTTTCTTCATTACTATCAAATTCCTCACCGAGATCTAATCCCCAACATAGAACAAATTATTAAAAAAGCGCAATCGTAAAGAAGAATAAATTTTCATTTATGGATGATATTTTAATTAATTTTTTAAATCATTGTAAAATGTTTAATTTTATATTTTATTGTGATTTACATACCTGTTTATATAGCTAAAACAGTAGCTAATTAGGGTAAAGTAACGCAATACTTTATATCTAAATACACAAAGCTAGATGATGAAGTTTCTGCGGCAGAAGGCACCTAGGCATTTAAGAATTGGAGTGTAACCAATGGATGAAAATTAAAAATGTTCCAAGGTGGTCAGAGCAAGAGACCTTTATCAATTTCTTGAAAATAAAAATGTTAAATGAATCAAATCAAAGCTATTTGATCAATTCCAATCTTAAATTATTTATTACTAATAAAATGAATCGTGAAGATATATAAAAATTTCTCTCCACTAGAAATGGGTTCAATATTTCTCAGATATTCCAATCCTTGAGCAACACAGTGAACTGCTAATTATATAGCTTTATTTGCTATACCAACTCATAATACTATGTTGAAAGAATATTTTCTTTAATCAATAGTCAATGTGAGAAGATAATTTATCAGTGGAATCTATAAAAGCAATTATATGCACACAAATATTATAATTTTAATAAATCATTTTTATGCCAAGATTTTTATAAATATTTAGAGAAAAGACCAAATGTATTTAAAAAAATATCGGCAAGTGAAAAATATATAATACAAAAAATTGAATATTATTATTTAATAATATTGATTATGCAATAAAATTAAAATCAACTAAATTTTTAAATATAAATGTAAAACTTGTAGATAATTGGTCCATTTTTAGGCAAAAAATAAGAACCGTTTACGAAAACTATCACCTCACCTAAAGATTTTCTTGAGAAAAATAGCCGAGCTTTGAAGACAACAGAGATAAATTAATGCCTCAATGCTTACCGGATTTTTTTCGGCTCACGCCTCAGATTAAACCGAATTGGCTTATTTTCAACCATTACCCAACTATATGTAAAATCTATCATTTATTTATTTAAATATTAATCTTATAGTCCGATATACAGAAAAAAATCAAGATTCAATTAAATCCTATTATATTTAAATGAGCGATGTTCATACTAGTACTAGAAATGAAAATGAGGAAATAAATTTTCAAGAAGATGGCATAGAAAAAGAAGATATTCATTTCAAGAGAATATATTTTTTAAAATATTATGATGTTTACAAGATGAGCCTATCCCACTCTTCATGTTATTTAACCATTTTAGAGACTAGTTTTTAAAAATTAATTCCAAAATCAATAATAAAGTAAAGCACTGCAACTTTGCTCAACTAAAAATTAAATGGAACGTTTCCATCCTCCCTCAATTTCATCCCCATTTTTATATAAATTACTATAAGTGTATTAATTTTTTATTCTAAATGCACATATGCCTTCTTGTATTATTGAAGTCAAGTTATGTAGGGAAATCTGGCTTAATAAACATGTATGAAATATAACATATAATATCTCAATTTTTCATCAGATTCATTCATTTAATATTTTATAATAAATTAGAATCCAAATTATCTACATAGAATCCTTATTTCATTTCAATGTATATTGTTCTCACCATGAAACATAATGTTAATGTATAATTTACATATATTAAAGCTGGGAAAAATTTTAGTCATAATTTCCTAGTTGTAGGTTCTTTTTAAGTAAAAAATTGATAACCAAAAAATATTGGTTAAAGTATATGCACTTTAATAATTTTTTCGAAAATATTCTAAAAACATTTTTTTTAGAATTTGTGTTTAAATATATTAAAACACTTTTTTTTGAAGTGTAATTGTATTTATATTCGAATAGATTTTCTTGAAAATTTGACGAACTCTTTTCATGCGTGCCCTAATCTTTTTCTTAGAGAAATAACTGCCCTTACCGCCAATTTTAGTAATATAACACTGATGTTATTAAATAAAAATAAAATGAGATAATTCAGGAAGGTTGCCAATATTATATAAACCTATCATTTTCCTGATTTGGTGTAACATAAAACTTTGTCCCTTGATTGTTATAAAAACCCATTCTATACCATTTTTGACGAAAGGCGCAGAAATCTATTGAAATATTATATTTAAAAATAGATTATCAATTATCATTAAATATATTTACTTCACAATATTTAATAAAAGAAATACTTGCACCCAGGATAATCGATTTTTAATGTAATCAAATGAATTACATGTATGAACTATGAACAAACAATGTTATTTTCTTCAATGGTATATTTTTAAAATTATTTTTATTATATGATTAGATTTAAATTTAAAAAAACGTGATTTAATAAAATAAATCAATTTTTTTTAATTTTTATAAAAATATCAAGGATATTTCTCAACCACCAATATAACCAGGGGGTCATGGAACGGAAACTGTAAAGAATTATGAAACGGGAACGATGATTCAGCGAACGTTCCGAAAATTAATATGTAAAATTTATATATAATGATGTGTCTATTTGTCGAACTGGGAAAAATATACATAAGAAAATGATTTGATACAAAAATGATTGATTTAAAATCGAGATCAAAGTAAAATCTATAATAAGGTGCTATCCCAAATCGGAATCAGCTGTTATCAGTGAAACTAAGATTATTATTAGATAAACATATATATTATCTGCATTATTCAATTCTAAAGATTTAAGAGTGTTTAAAATAATTTATATATGTCATAAATTATAATCTTGTTGATTTCCGTGTACATAGTTACAAAAAGGTTTTAGTAAAAACATAATAAATGAAAGAGAATATATATGCTCACGTTGCATTAATTCACACCATTGATAAAATAATTATGTACATATTGCAGAAGGTTATATTGCATAAGTGTTTTACAAATTATGAACCAACAATATCTAGGTCCTGGTTATAGCTAATACCTACCTCAACATTGCCAATAAAAATATTTAATATTGAAACTAATAATTCTTTAGGCCAACTACCACAATAAATCAACTTAACTTTATATGTGACCTAATATCACTGGCAATAATTGCATAAATTTAACAGATATTAACTTGCATACTATAAATTTAATAGAGACCAATGTTAAATATTATACTGATCCGATCCTAATTATTGCTGGTCAAACACTTTCCTCACCCACAGCAATTCTGTCTAGAATATCAAGGGGTATTTTTATTAAGATAATTTTAAAAAGATAATAAAAAAACACAATTAAATTTTTTAAAAATTAAAAGATTTATGTATTCTTCATCATTTTTCGGTAAAGAGATGAAGCTTAAATAATTTGATCACATAATGTTTGACAAGCCTTTGTCGGTAGTAACCTTCGTGGATCCTATTTTTTTTATCGATGATACGCTTGCCAATCTCCCCAAATAGTTTATGAGTACACGCGATGAAAGGAATAAAAAGGCATAAACTAGATAAATTATCATATTTATTGGTAGTGTTGTTAAACGGCTCGTTTTGAGCCGATTTTTAAAAACGGCTAACTTAATATTTCATCCAGAATAATATTACGCAAGCATGAAGATTTTGTTTGTAGGAGGAACAAAGGTTTGGACAACTATTAGCGAAATCTCGAGTTAGGCAATATTTTTCTGACTAAAATATTGAGTTAGCCATTTTTAAAAATCGGCTCAAAACGAGCCGTTTAGCAACACTATTTATTGGTTTTAAAAATCTTAGTTGAGGAGAGTGCGCCTTTACTTTCTTCATCTTTTTAGATGGAAAAATAAGGTCAGTAAACATTGGATTACTAAAAGATTTACTGGCAGAAGCTAAAGCCCATTTGATGATTTCTTTGCACTGAGAATGCCAAGAAAACAGCCATTGCAGAAATGAAAGTGGAGTCGCGTCGGTATGTGTTAAGAATTTGCATGTGTGGTGTCACAATGTTGCATAGTGCATTTTTCGTCGGATAAAATTCTTGGAGGTAATTGCCTATATAAATTTGTAGCAATTTTCGCAGTTCAGATGAAAAATAGAGCGTACTCAACTCCTTAGAGCTCTATTTAAGGTTATCATTTTTTCAAACCCAGACCGGGCCTTTTTATTTATAATTCGATATATAAAATAAAAGCATTAAATCAATAATTTTTGTAATAAATCCCTCCTCCCTCTCAAACCATAAAACTTTTCGAAGAATAGGTCCACCCTAATAATATTTTTAATTTCATTATTTTACATAACATTATTATTACCCAAAATTTAGCATAAAACCTTTTTAAATCAAAATTATTTTATTAGTTGAAAGGTGTTTTTCGACACTCAAATACATTAATACTTCCACATTAATATATATGATAATCTTTAGAGAATGCCATTAATGGATGCACCTCTAATAATTGATCTATATTATAAAGATTAATAAAATTTATATATCAATAAATAGTAATTTAATGTTAGGTTTTTCAGTAAAGCGGTTCGAAACATGGAACGTAACGAAAAACCATGAAATGGAAACGCAAAAATGCATTCGTTCCGGGTCACTGATTATGACTATTTATTGTTTCTTTTAAATCCTTTCCTAATCTAAACATTCCTTCCTACCTTAATAATTATTTTTCTTTTATTAACTTTTTTATATAAAAAAATGTTTCCATCTTATACACATAAATATTTTAGGCCTATATCCAATATAATTTTTATTATTGTATTTGATCGGCTGGACTAAACCCTTGTACAGTTTTGTTAAAATCTATTTTTAAGAGTAGCATCTATTACTACCGCTATTTTACAAAAAGTAGTCCATGATAAGTACCGCAATTTTACAAAAAAATAGTACGCTATCGCTACCGCTATTTTATAAAAAAGTGGTACGCTATTAGCTACTTTAGAATTTTTTTTAAAAATATTTTTATACAGTGTATGTATGATTTGTTGTAAAACATTTCCATGTATTTGTAACAACTTTCTTATAAAATTGTTTGACTTGCTATAATTATTGTAAAAATAACAGATAACATTTTTTTTAAAAAAAGCAAGTTAAATAATTTTTTAAGAAAGTTGTTGCAAATATATGGAAATGTTTTACAATAAATCATATTGATACTGTAACATTTCTATTTCCACAAATAAAAAATATGACTAAAATTTAAAATATTTTTAAATAGTTAATTTTTTATTGCATCTCAATAATAATAAAATTTTCATATTGGAGAGTGACGATCAGAAAACATAATCTGACTAAACAATCGTTCAACACTATCATCTGAGGGCTGTCGTATTTTTATATGTATATTCATATTACATATTGCCAATCTAAATAAGGTTGATTGGATTATAATTAACATCGAAGAACACGTGATAAAAAAATATTTTCGTGTTCGAATATAATTGTAAAAAATTATTATTAAAAAATTATGAGATTTTTTTTCCTGATATATTTTGATTATTGAAATTCTTGTAGATGTTCGTGATTTTTTTTTCTGATATTTTTGATGATTATAAAATTAGTTTTTTTTATATGATATATTATTGTGAAACATTCATATTTTGGTTTATATTTTGTGTATCAAAAATCAAAATTGTTGAAACTAAATAAAGAAAATTAACATCATCCAATCGTTTCAATTTAATAGCAGAGTAAGTTTAGGAAGGTTGGAAGTAAGGGGTGTGTAACTTTTTCAAGGGCAATGCAGTATTATATCTAACATACAAATTATAAATATAATTTAATAAATTTTATGTGCATTTATTATATAAAATTTTAGAAGTAGCGCGCTAACCTTACCGCTACTTAAAAAAATAGCGCGTTGCTATAGCATGCTACTTGTAGCACGCTTTTAACAACACCGCACTCGTGTTATTTGGAATAGCTTAACAAATGTATGAATCGAATTGGGATAATATTCAAATACTTTATTAATAATAAATTGTTATCCGAATGTTATTAATCGTATAATGATTTCATTTTAATAATAATGAATATTATTTGAATAGGATAAATAATATTCGAATAATAATATTTGGTAACTCACTGAATCACGGGGAAATTTTTAATATTATTACTTTTATTTATTTTTTTAAAATTTTTTTTAGAAAAAATAGTATAAGATCGTCTGGATATTGATGAAAATTTTTTGATGTAATTTCAAAGTTTTATTATTCAAGTTTTAAAAATTGCATACTTTTTTCGTTCAATTGGCGTAATTTTAGATTTTTTTTTTAAAAAAAATAAATAAATGATCGTCTGGATTTTGGTGGAATTTTTTTATCATAATTCATTAATTTTACAATAAAAACGGAGTATATTTAAAAAAACTTGCGAAAATTTTCATAATTCTTTAATTTTACAATAAAAACAAGACGTGTGCTATGAAGCTACTAAGTTAGGACTATTAAATCAAATACTAAATAGTTAATCAATTTATTAGAATAAATTTTTTTTTGCGAAAAAAGGTTGATATTTCAAAAAAGAAATAGTTATTTTTAGATTTATAAATTTGAAGGTTTAATTTGGGCATCGTTGGGTTTGAAATAGTTGAAATTGAATGACATAAAATTGAATGTAATTTAATTGATACTCATAAATATATAATATTGTTTTTATTATAATTTTATTAAAATTGTATCGCTCAAATTACTGAAATATCGAATTAGACAAGTTATAGCTAAATTGTTAAAAATAAAATACGCCTTCTTCCTACCAGACCAAACAATAAAAAATTTTTTTTAATTTTAAAAAATAAATAAATAAAAAATTTCCCAATTTTAGTGAGTTACCTACCTAATATTTTTATATAAAATTTTGAAATTATCTATATCTATAATATATATAAAAGCCTTGTCACAAAAATACCGTTACGCTGACACTGTCACACTTTCAATCTATAATATATATTTAAAAAATCGTTAATTTTGAAAAGTGTCTGTGGCCAATCGGCAAGAACATCGCTTACATATCTAATGGATTATTGGACTTAGGTTCGAATCCCAGCAAAGGTTTTTTTTCTTAATCTGGCAAAATGTTTTTTTTTATTAATCTGACAAAATTAATCAAATAGAAGTTACGATTCAAAGTTTGTAGCTACTTTAAAATTCAAACTATTAAATAGGTATTCTGATATTTTTAAATTTTTTTAATT